TATGTTTGTATCGGTTTGTAAGCAGTGGCCAGGAGGCCAAGGAACCGAGCAAAAGCTAAGAGACCTAGAGGCCACACAGAGCCTTCGGCATTCTCATGAGCCTGGGGAGACAAATATTAGCGTTGAGAAAAAGGCCTGGTAAGCACCACAGACTGTCCGATGAGGCCCTGAAGAGGTACACTGGTCGGTACCTGCATATGGCTTTCTACCAGCTCACGAGAGCTGACTATGTACATCTCTTTCCAATTCCACACTCATGCGGGCCACACAGGCGGTCGGAAACTGGCAGCAGTCGATGGAAATGAACAAATGCCACAAGGAAGAAGCCTTCCCACTGAGAGTCGGTCACGCACTGCCCAGCACATCACTGGCTGCATTCGAAAAGGAAGGGCAAACCAGAAATACACCAAACCTCAGAAAGGCTGAAAAAGAGATTAAAAAATCAACCTCAGACCAATTACAATAATCAGTCCTTCCCTTAGAGCCTGGCAGAAATACAATCAAGTCCTTCTAGAAGGAAGATACATTACTGTCTAGAACCTATTGTTTCATTTTGGTTTTAAACAAACAATGGTCACCATTTAACAAAAATGATCAGGTACTTGGAAAGAAAAGACAAATGATCAAAATGAAAAAAAAAAAAAGAAAAAGAAAAAAGGACTACGGAAACAACCAATATTACAACCAGATACTGGAGAATTCAGAATGAGCTTTAAGATAACTGAGTAATATGTTCAAAGACTACAAAGGAAAATATGAGGAATTTTACCAGAACACTAGAATCCATGAAGAAAAAAATAAACTGTACTGCTAGAAGAAGAAATTAATTTACTAAAATTAGAAATTCCATAGGTGGGTTGGACAGCTGATTGAACACAGATGAAGAGAGGCTTAGTGAACCAGAAGACCACCTCACAAATATTAATGCACACACAAATTGCTTGGAGATGCAGACCATGACAGAAGGTCTGGGGTGGCAGCTGGGGGTCTGCCTTTGCAGCAGCCCCGTGGGGACAGCAGTGTCTCTCCTCGAGGGAACACGGTGTGCTACTACTGCTCTTGTTGGCCCAGTGACTGCTGTGAATATCAGGAAACTAAAAAATGGGAAAAGAGAAAAATAATCCAGAGACCCAAAGAGAACAAAGAATGAAAAGTATAAAAAAGGATAGTGTAGACATTGGGGAACGTAACGAAAATATCTAACATATATAATGGAAATCCCAGAAGGGATGGAGAATGGAGCAAAAGGAATCCCTGAAGACAGAATGGCTAATATTTTGCAGAGTTGATGAAAGAGACTAGGGTGGAGTGAAGAAGCCCCAAGAGTTCCAAGCAGGATAAATATAAAGAAAAGTACCCGGCAGGGGGCTACAGGAGAGAAGGGCTCATATTCGGAAAGCTATAAAACATCACTGAGAGAAAGAGGAGATTAAAATAAAGAAGAGATACTTTATTCAAAGATGGAGAATCAGATATTCGATGTCAATTTCCCCTCAAGTGATCTACAGAATCAAAACAATCTCAATCAAAATGCCAGCAAAGTATTTTGGTGTAAGTTGACAAATTTCGAAAGGCAAAGGGCCAACAATAGTTAGGACAATGATGAAGAAAAAGAGAGCTGAGAGGTATATACTGCAGTGTCAACAGTTATTATAAAGCTATGGTAATTAACACTGTGATCTGGTAGAAAGATGGACAGATCAAAAAACCAGGGTAAAGTTTCAGAACAGGTGCACACATACAGACAGACACCTGATTTATGATAAAGGGGCCCAGGCAGAGAGTGGGCAAAGATGAGATTCCATAAGTCGCATTAACTCAAGTGGATATCCTTATAGAAAGCAAAACAAACAAAACAAAGCAAAACTCTTGACCTCCACACCTTACGGTGAAACACAGATACATTCCATGTGGATTAAAGATCTAACGGTAAAAGGCAAAATAGTAAAATTTCTTGGATGAGTCCACTGAGGTGTGTGTTCATGGCGGTGTGGGGAAGTAACCTGAAATAGGACCCCAAACAAAAGGAAAATCTAATAAATTCTACCATATTAAAACAGACTATGTCTGGTCTCCAAAAGACACCAGTAAGAAAGTGAAAAAACTGGTTAAAGAATGGAAGATCTTTAAATTACCATGACTTGAACTCCAAACTAACAAATAATTCCTACAAATCAGAGGAAGGGGAGTGGGGGAGAAAGGAGGCAGGTAAACCAATAGATAAGTGGGCAAAAGGTTTGAATAGGGGCTTCATGAAAAATTATATCCAAATATTATATCCTTATATCAACAAATAAGTATTTGCTGTCATAAGTTAATAGGGAACTATAAAACCACCATTAGATTACAGTGCATTCCCATGAAAATGGCTACTAACAGAAACATAACAATGCCAAGTGTTGGCAAAAATACAGAGCTACTAACATGATTATGTATCGCTGGGGGAAATGTAAATTTAGGCAACTATTCTAGAAAACTATTGGGCAATATAAAGCAGATCCACTGTATTTCTATGACCTAGAGGTTACACTCCTCGCTACACACCCAGCAGACATGTTTGCATAGATGAGTCAAACAAAAGGTCTAGAGAAGAACAGTGACAACGGTATCGGTCACTTACTGACACTGGAATGCTGAAATACCGAATTGTGCTTCCACATCAGGATGGATAAATGTGCGTGCGATAGAATACTATACAGCAATGAAAATGGATGAACTATAGGCACGTGCAAAGACAGACGAGTCTCATTGCCATAACATTGTTCAAAAAAAAAAAAAAAGAAAAATCTGGGGGCTGGAAGATGCCGCCCCAAGACAGCTGGTGCCTGACTATTTCAGGGCAGACCAGAGGGACTGTCACAGCGCCTGGAATAAATACGGACAATCTCAACGAGCAACAGGTTCAACTCCAGGAAGAGAGATGCACAGATTTTTCACATGTGAAATCTCGGGACATGTGTATTATCCTCAAAAGCTGTATAATAATAAACCACGAAGAAAAAGATGAAAAATTATTTACTGCTAAAGCTAAGTGTTTTATAAATTCAGTAGGAAAAGCCATCTCTTATTAACCCTGAACAGTGAGCCTAAAGACTTCAGGCAACACTGTGTGGCAAATATTACTTTCAATGAAAAGCAAAAATAATAAGAATTACATAAAAAACAAAACAAAACAAAACAAAAAAGCCCCAGACATTCAAACACTGATAAATTCTTCCATTTATATCTAGTTGAAGAACAAGGCAAGCGAGTGTCTGGTGTTACTCTAAGGGACAGCTCTTTCTGGCAGGGAATGGGAGAGAATGGATGGGAAGGGTAGGAGGGGGAGCTCTGGGCTCTGGGCTCCAGTCATGTTCCAGGGGACACGGCAGTGTTCACTTTAGAAAAATGTGCAACTGTACGTGTTTCTGCAGGTAGGTTACAGAGCAAGAAACTTTCTTACTAAAGAGTTAAGTTTAAGTAAGAATGGATTAAACTGTAAGGAGAAGAGACCAGTAGTTTCCAGGACCTGGGGAGGGTGGCAGCAGAGAACTACAAAAAAGGTAAAAGGACATTTTGGGGAGCTTCTGGAACTGTTCTATCCCCGGACTGGGATAGTAGTTACAGCAGTGGATGCATTTATCAAAATTCAAAGAACTGCAGACCAAAAAAAGTGAATTTTGCCATATACAATAAAAGCAATTATAATTTAGATATAAAAGTAAGGAATTAATTTGACTTATTTTTATGTTTGTGAAAAGTTGACTTCCATGGTGCTATAATCTGTTCTTTTCGTTGATTAAATTAGAAATAAAATTAAACAGTCTACCTGTAAAAGATTTTCTTAACCTTTGTATACACAGAAACTTGTCAAATAAAAATGTCAAAATTTTTGAGAAAACAAAGAATGATATTCCCTTCAGTTTTGGGGGGGGGGGGGACAGACTTTAAAATATATTTTATCTATGCAAATAAAAAATACATTTGGGATGTTGAAATAAAAAATCTGTATGTTTTAGGTTTGATATTCACATATGGCATAATAGAAAAAATAATAACCTCCGGGTTATTCCTTTTAGTATTTATTCATGTAAGCTTTGAGGAAAATTAATGGTAGAGCATAATTTCTTTTAGTTATTTGAAACAAAACAAAAATTTCAGTTAAAAACCTATGACTTCCTCTTAAAGCTTATTAACATTTTTTTCATCTTTGGCCAATGAATCTAGAAATTAAATTACTTTAAGAACACTAATTTCTGAGGCATTCTGAAAAACAGGCTGCCTTTACTGGATCTCAAACTTTTTCACATTCATTTTAGATTATCTTATTCTAATACATTTCTGAACATGTAAGGGTGAAATTAAGTTGAGGTTCATTTGTGTGAAAGCAACACAAATCTGAACTAGACAGAAAGATAGACAGCAGGTACCAAATCCATTCCATGGAAAAGGAGGGAAGATGTGGGGCCCCCAGTAAGTAACAAATTATGGTAATCAGGGTAAACATGAAGCTTCTTTTGCTCACAGATATTTAAATGTAAGCTTCTTTTCAAATATCCAAGGATTTCTCTTATCAACACAGGTGATACCAGATTATTTTTTCCCCAGTGTCATCAGAACCCCACTTCTCAAAAGAAAAAAAGGTGATATTTTAGGGGCCTAAAGTTACTGAAGTCATCCAAGGTCCCCTGCCCCAGCCCCCATCTTGAAAACTCTCCACACTGTTTAACTTAAAAGTGATACCATGAGCCAGCTGTGTTTATTTATTTGAGAGACAGAGAGAGAGCACAAGCAGGGGGAGCAGCGGAGGGAGAGGGAGAAGCAGGCTCCCTGCTGAGCAGGGAGGCGAATGTTGGGACTCGATCTCAGGACCCTGGGATCATGACCTGAGCCAAAGGCAGACACAACCGTCTGAGCCACCAGGTGCCCATGAGTCAGTTGTGTTAAGCCAGGCAACAGAGTTGCATTTTTGTAGCTATTGGCTGACGAATCTAATACTTTTTACAAGAGAAGTATCTTACCACTTGGGCTGGAACTTGTGCCATTTTCGCAGCAGGAGTTCCTGGTCTTGGGTAAAACTGGTTAATAAAGAGGCTTGGAAATTTGTACTCTTCCACAAGCTTCACTGTTTCTTGAAAATCTTGATCTGTTTCTCCAGGAAAACCACAGATAATATCTGTGGCCAGAGTTATTCCAGGAACTCTAGAAAACAACACAACAAACATGTAGAAAGCTGAATACAATCCATAATTATTCTATTTCTTTGACATTTTAAGTGCCATAATTCCTTTTAAAAATAAATTTTGTTTTTTAGGAAAGGGACATTTGCAATGAGTATTTATAGAGTCCTACATACTGAAAAAGTTTACGGGTAACAGTGGTCCTTGTCATCCTGAAGGGACATTTTTAATTCTTTTGAATGTCTCTTTGTTCTTTTTTTTCTATATTTTAAAACTGATGCTTATTCTGCTATTTCCAGACTTACTGATATTTAAGCAGCATTTTACTAACTTCTCTACTATGGTAAATGAAGATTTAGCCCCTTAAACTACTCTATCCATCCACTCCCAATATAATCCCTGCACAGTTTTAAAATTAATTGTATTTGCATTAGTATAAACTGCAAAGATACCATTCACTGCAGAGCCAACTGGTAAACCTACCGTCATGTTTTCTTTTGCTACAATGTTTAATTTTTCTGAGAGTTAGTAACAGTCTCTTAAAAAATTTTTGCTGCATTTCTAGGTATCTATGTTCATGTTTCCATAAGCTCCATCATATTGATCAAAAACCAATACTGTTTTCCAAACACTCAATGTGCTACACACATAATTCATGGATTCTATTTTTTTTTCTGCTGGAAATGCTATTCCTACTTTCTTCAAGTGTGTGTTGCTTTCATAATGAACTGGGTTTCATCCTTCTATGTTGCTCTTTGGTTTCCTTCCCCCCACCCCCCACCCCCAATTTCCCTTTCTCCTGAATCCTATGTATTCTTATTTCTTGATTACTCTATTCCGCTTAATTCTGCTGGAGAATTCTTTCAGGAACTTCACCAAAAAGAATGCCAAGGAAATTTTGTTGTTACTGTCTTAGCATATCTGAACATGTCCTAATCCATACCATTGACTGATGGAGCGGCTGTGCACAGCACTCCAAAGGGAAAAATACTGGCCATCGGAATTTCAAACTCTTTTCCTTTTTTTTCATGCTGGCGATGTTCTGATGAGATGTGCAAATTCACTCACACAAACTATGTTCTCCACTTTCTTTTTGAAAGCTTTTAGGAGATTAATTTTATTCTTGATGTTTTTACATTTCATGATAACAGGTCTTGGATTAGGCATATAAATCTTTGTACAGGCATAACCTGAACACTCATGGTCTTTAGGTCTAGCACATTTTCTTATGTTACCATTTAATCATTTGTTTTAGAGATGCAACCTCTTTTCTCATATTCCTAAAGATACCAATTAAGTTTTTTACAAGTTTTCCTCTGCTCACTGCAACAGTGCCCATTTCCTCCAGGTTCTTGTATGTTGGTCCCTCTCACACATGGCTGAGATCTGCCATCAACAAAGAGTGACCCTGCCCTTTAATATTAAAGAATAAATCATCGAAAGCTTCTCATCACAGATTGATTGGGTAACAAGCTGCCTTTATTTTTTGGTAAGTCCACATGTTAGCATCTTGGATGTCTTTTCTCTGTGGCTCTGGAGTTTCTCCATACGTATGCTACAACATTCTACTGTGTAATAACAGTGTAACAATGGAATAAGATGAACAGTATTCACAACTCCAATATTATTCTCAACCCATAAACAGGAAAAATAGCCTCAAACATCACAAACTGTAACGAACCTGACTATATCAATTTTTCTATCTCCTAAATGCAGGCCTGTACGGATGAATAAAACAATTTATCTCATTTAAATATATTAGATATTTGGAGGCATAAAAGAGGACAAAGAATGTGGCGAAGGGAAGTCAGATTACTGGCTGCCTAACACAAGCGGCATCATAAAAACAACAGTTTTCCATACCTTGTTTGGATAATACTTTAATGACTGTGTGAAAGGAGAATGACACTTATTTTAAAAAATATTTCTTTCTTGATTTCTACTTAGTGTTACTCAGCTGTTAATTTGGCTGGCCTTGAATTAGTGAGATAAGTTCCAAAGGCTGGAGCTTTTCTCTGTGACGGTAAATAGAAAAAAGAGGTAATATGCCTAAGAGAAAAATGAAACCATTTTTAAAAAGTTTTATTTTTTGTTCTGATACAAAAACATTCTTTCTCCTTCAAGGGTGATTTATCAAAATTACACTTGAAAATCATGAAAAACATGTTTTTGTAGATTAAAAGACCTTTTTCTAGACTTACTAAAGCATGAGGAATAGAAAAAGTATGTCAATAACTTTAATCAGCAAATGTTTACACTTGACTTTTAACTACTCCTGAACAAAAGAAATCCACATCTAAAACTGTAAGTAACAGACCATAGCAGAAATGACAGAGTAGAATCCAGCTCCCCTAGGAAATTAAAAAAAAAAAAAAACCTTAGAAACTGCCTGTGAAATATTATAGAAACCAAGACAACTGGTTATTGTCCTAGGCTATGAATCGCAATGAACTTGGCACTAGATTATGGGGTATTCCCAAAGGAAAGTACCTTACTGGTTCCCCCTACCCTCAAAGCTCCTTGATCCAGAATAGCCGAGCTCAGTATTACACAAGACCTGCTTACTTTGGCATGAAGGTTGCCAGTGAGAAAAGACAGAACTTTACAGAAGTCATTTTAAATGTTAAAAAAGGGGACGTTCAAAGTGTGAATACATTTGATAATCTATGCAAAAAGCTGACTGGTAACAAGGGAGAGGGTGGGTAAACTATGACTTTGTGACTTAGGTTAGCCAGTATTTAAAAGTAAAAGCAGTTTAATTGATTTCAAAGTATGTAAGAATATAAAGTATGTAAGAATATAAACTGATTGCCTATAAAATGTTTTCAAAGTGAAGACTACACTTTAATGTTAGATGAAGCTCATCTATACATTAATTTTATATATGCAAATGATGCTTCTTAAAAATACTTTGGCTTCTTAGGGGAACCAATTAAAAAGACTCTTATTTACACAGTTAATTTGCCTAAGTAAATAATTCTGTTCAGCTCATAAGAAAATCCAGGAAGTCTGAAGTGGACCCAATTCTAAATTAATTGTATATGATTTAAGTGGCTATAAGGAAATTATTAAGGACTGTAAAATAGAACATCAGTCCAAATATTTAATATGCTAATTGTGAGTAAATGCTGTTTTGAGAAGCAATGAATTTTCAAAATACCAAAATTTTAAAAAATGATCATTTCCACATGTGTATTGAAGCTGTGAGTCTAATGAACATAATTACCAGGTATTCTATGCTTTTAAAATTTAAAAGAACTATATTTATTTTTTCATAGCAGTACTGGAGAATAATTCTGAAAGAAGATGAAAACGAAAATGTTCAATTAGCTTAAATAACACATACATTCCGACCCAATATTTTTTCTCATGTATACAAGCTTTTTACTGGCAAAATGGGTTCATTAAGTAACTTGGAAATAGAACGAATGAGGAAGATTCCAATTATGCATCTGCCTTGACAGAGGTGGTGCTAGGATCAGTTATCCAAGTCTACCAAGAGGGTATCAGGAGGGTATCAGGAGAGTACGACCTCCTTGCTGGCCTGAGGCAAAGAAAGCCCCAAAATATTTCAAGACTTCATTATTTATCATGAATAAAAATAAACAGAGACCTACACCTACTTTACATGCTGTACTTGAATCATCTCAAGACTTCCACACTTGCAATTTGGTGTTTTACTGGCAAAAAAAAAAAAAAAAAAATGAGAAAAGGATGATTCTATTCATGCTTAGAACAATAAATGAGCTTCAAATTCTACATGTGAAAAAATTAATACTAATACATGGGCTATTTACCTCAAAAGAAAGACATAAAAATAATCGGAAAAAGAATCAAATCCATGGTAATGATGAGGCATAAACATATGATTAAAAGAAACATTTTTTTTTTAGTTCTGAATGAAAGTAAAAACATACCTCAATCTATGGGATGCAGCTTAAAGAAATCCTTAGGAAGAAATTAATGGATTTAAATGTTTGTGTTAAAAAGAGAGAAACTCAACAATCTCAGCTTCCACCTCAAGAAACTAAAAAAGAGGAGCAAATCAAACTCAAAGTAGGACAAAAAATAAATTACTAAATAAAAGTTTAAAAAAATCAACTAAATAGAAAATAGAGGAAAAAAAATCAGTTAAAGTAAAGGTGTCCTTTTGAGGAAAAACAATATAATTACTAAACTTAGCTAGACTGAGAAGAAAAAAGACACAAATGACCAACTTCAGACAAGAGGAAGGAGGCAGCAGCACAGATGCTATCAATATTAAAGAAATACTAAGGATATATGTATTATAACTTTATGCCAATAAATGAAACATTTAAACTGAAATGGGCAAACTTTGTAAAAGACATAAATTAATAAGAGACTCAAGAAGAAACAGAAAATCAAAAGTCTTTTGTCTACTACAAAAATTGTATTTATAATTAAAAATCTTGCCACCAAAAGAAAACAACACAAAACAACGTAGGCCCAGAGAGCTTCACTGGTGAATTACAGCAAACATTTAAGAAAGAATAAAACCAGTTCTATGGAAACGATTTCAAAGATAAATGAGAAAGGAACTTATTGTATAAGTCCAGCAATAGCCAATATAAAAACCAGAGAAAGAGATCAGAAATAAGCTCCAAACCAAATCTTTTTTTTTTTTTTTAAAGATTTTATTTATTTATTTTAGAGAAGGAGAGATAAAGAGAGTATGCACATGTACTCAAGCAGGGAGAGGAGTAGAGGCGGGTGGAGATAATCTCCAGCAGACTTTGCACTAAGTGCAGAGCCTGACTAGGGGCTCAATCCCACGACCCCAATATCATGATCTGAGCCAAAACCAAGAGTTAGACACTCAACTGACTGAGCCACTCAGGAACCCGCAGACCATTACCTTTTATGAATAAAGAGACACTTAACAAAAAATTAGCAAACTGGGCCCCAAAACATATAAAAAGGTTACTTATCATGATCAAGTTTTAATCCCAGGAGTACAAGGTTTGTTTGACGAACAAATTTTAATTAATGCAGTAAGCCACATGAAAAGGATAAAACTTTCATGGTGATCTCAGTACATGCAGAAAACTCAGTTGACAAATCCAACACCCATTCATGATGAAAACTCTGTGTAAACAAAGAAAACTATCTCCACTTGATAAAGAGTCTACAGCTGTTCTCATAGTTATTGATGAAAGACTGAATGCTTTTCCGCTCAGATTAGTAACAAGGCAAGGATTTCTATTCTTACTTCTACGACTCAATATATTATAAAGATTCTAGTCAGTGCAAGAAAGGCAAGAAAAAGATATTACAGACATATAGGTTGAAAAAGTAAAAGTAAACTTTTTTTGCTGGTCTTGTATCTTGTTTATGGAAACTCTAAGTAATCCAATGAACCTACCAGAATAAGTGAGTTTAGCAGAGCTAAAGATTAATATATAAAAATCTACTGAACTTCTTATATTAGTAATGAACAATTAGAAAATGAAATCAAGGAAACAATTCCATTCCCAATACCATAAAAAACACTCAGAATAAATTTGGAAAGTGGAAGAACTGTACTCTAGAAACAGAGAACTTGAAGAGATTTTCTTAAAACTTACTGAAATTAAAAAGTATCTAGGGATTCTTGGATGGTTCAGTTGGTTAAGCATCTGCCTTTGATGCATAACCAATGATGCCCTGATGCCTTCAGATCATGATCCCAGGGTCCTGGGATCGAGTCCCACATCGGGATCCCGGCTTGGCGAGGAGCCTGCTTCTCCCTCTCCCTCTGCACTCCCCAAAACTCATGCTTCTTCTCTCTCATGCGGTGTCTCTCTCTCTCTCTCAAATAAATAAAATCTTTAAAAACAAACATATAAATAATATCTAAAAAAATGAAAAAAATATATATAGTTTTCATAGATTGGAGGATTTTACTGCTGGTAAGATTGCATGTACCCTCAAATTGATACACAGATTCAATGCAACTGCCATCAAAATACCAGCATGGTTTTCTGTAGAAATTGACAAGCTGATTCTAAAATTATATGGAAATGCAAAGAACTTAAAGTGCTCAAAGCAATTTTGAGAAAGAACAAAATTGGTGGAATGGATGTATCTGACTTAAAGACTTACTATAAAGCTATGATAATCACAACAATGTGGTATTAGTATCCAAAGACATTAATAGAATGGAACAACAGAGTCCAAAAATATACCCATACATCTATACATTTATGGTTACTTAATTTTCAATAAAATTGCCAAAGCAATTCAGTGAGATCAAGAGACAATGTTTTCAATCAACCGGGCTAGAGCAAATGGATACCATATGCAAAAGCAAGCCAGCAAGCAAAGGAGCTTATTGGACCTTTACCTTACATTGTATACAAAAAGCACTTCGATATCAATCTCAGATCTAAATGTAAGAGCTAGAATTACTATGTTTCCAGAAGAAAATATGGGAAAAAATCTTTGTGACCTCAATGGAGTTAGGCAAAGATTTCTTAGCTCTAACACCAACACCAAAAGCACAATAATAATATTTAAAAAATTGGATAAACTGGGCTTACTGGGAAAACACTATAAAGAAGATAAAAAAGATAGGCCATAGACTGGGAGAAAATATTTGCAAACCATCTATCTGATAAAAATATTTGTATCCAAAATACCTTAAGAATTCCTACGGCTCACTAACAAGAAGACAAACAATACAACTGTGCAATGGGCAAAGCATTTGAACCAACACTTCACTAAAAGAAGATATATGAGTAGCTGATAGGTGTAGGAAAAGTCGGCTCACATCGGTTGTTATCGGGGTCATGCAAGTTAAACCATGTAAGATGCTGCACATCCAGGGGAATGGCTATATTGAAAAAAGACTAAAAAAATAACAGACATCGATGTGCAGCTGGAGAAATGGAAACCCTTATTCACCGTAGGTGGGAATTCAAAATGTTGCAGTCACTTTGGAAAATAGTGTGGCAGTTTCTTAAAAAGTTAAACATATTCTTACTGTGACTAACAAAGTTTACTTCCCAGTTATCTACCCAAGAAAAATTAAAACGTGTCCACACAGAGAATTTTATGTGGATTTTTAGAGTGGCTCTCCTCGTAATAGCTCCAAACTGGAAACAGTCCAAAAGTCTGTCAACCAGTAAATGGGTCAACAAAACGTGGCATGTCCATACCATGAAAATTTACCTCCAAAGGAACGAGAACCAGCTATGGATACAGCACCACACAGACGAACCTTGAAGACCTTTCTTAAGTAAAAGAAGGAAGACACAAAGGATTACTTACTGTTTGATTCTGTTTATCTGAAATTTCTATCAGCAGTAGAACTACAGAAGCAGAAAATAGGCATTTAGAGACTTTTTCTCATCACTAACTGCACGGTGATGATGGCTGCAGAAATTATTAATTTACTAAGAGTCTTCAGAGTATACACTTACATCGGGGCTTATATATGTTATCTAAAGTATACCCAGAACAAAAGTGGGTATAAAAAAAATCCACTCTTAAAAGTGGGAGGAGAAAAAAAAAAAAAAACACCCTTTCTGAAGACAAGAGAGATAGCAGGAATCCCCCATTAAAAACTCTCGAAAAAGTCCTAATAGGGGCACCTGGGTGGCTCAGTGGGTTAAAGCCTCTGCCTTCGGTTCAGCTCATGATCCCAGGGTCCTGGGATCGAGCCCCACACTGGGGCTCCACACTCTCTGCTCAGTAGGGAGCCTGCTTCCTCCTCTCTCTCTCTGCCTACTTGTGATCTCTGTCTGTCAAATAAATAAATAAATAATATTTTAAAATTTTAAAAATAAGAAAAGAAAAAGTCCTAATAGCTGAACTTCCGACAGGATGTAATCAAAGAATTAAATATGGCCAAATAGGAGGGAAGGGCAGAGACAATAAAAGACAAGGTTAAGGTAGAAAGGAAATTACCCAGAGCATGACATCACGAAGGACTGTGTCCCAGCTACCTACAGATGACAGCAAGGAATCATTCCGTGCATCCTGAGAGAGCAAACTTCAAGAGAATCAACATGACACCTTCAAGTAAATTTGAGAAAAATCTCAGCAGTTTTAAAATGATCATCATGCATTGATGAAAACCAATTCTTTTTTAAGATTTATTTTATAGCGAGGATGCATGCAAGTGGGGGTGGGGGGTCAGAGGGAAAGAGAGTCTTAAACAGACTCTGCACTCGGTGTAGAGCCCCATGTGGAGCCCCACGCGAGGCTCGATCCCACAACCTGAGATCATGATGTGAGCTGAAATCAAGACTCAGACGCTTCTCCAACAGAGCCACCCAGGCGCCCCATGTGAAACAATTCTTAAAGTACCTGAGCTGGAAGAGAAAAAGTACCTAAGCATTAGGGTGAGGGGTAAAAAGCCAGAATGAGTCACTGAGACAAAGAAAGACTGGTGCGGCTTGGACCACCCCTCCTCTCTTAGCACTGCTACCGGGGAGAAAGAGCTTCCCCTTGCTCTGTGATGAACGTGTTGCATGCACTAGGGCTATCTACTTAGCTTTAGTCTGCTTTGGTTTCCTGGGCTACTGGAAGTTAGTGCACATACTGACTGCTCCGACGGCACCTGCCACACAGCTATGTCCGATACGCTTTAGCTATTATTAGCGTAACCCTGTCAAAGAAGTACCTGCCACCTCTTTTACAATACTAAGTGCCAGGCGACGTGTTAGCAACTTACATG